GATAGGTTCGTTTGGTGCGGCAAAATCATAATCGGCAAGCGATGTAGGTCGAAAGGATCATAGTCAGATGACGGAGGTCAAAAGGACCATAGTCAGATAATGGTGGTCGGAAGGACCGTAGTCAACGGTTGACCGTGGTCTCATCAAGAATAGTAGTCGGTAGGCGACGGAGGTCAAAAGGACCGTAATTGGCATTGGTGGTTGGAAGACCATAGTCGACGAGCTACGGAGGTTGAGAAGACCGTAGCTGGGCGACGATGGTCGGAAGAAATATAGTCAGCAGGAGACGGAGGTCGAGAGGACCATAGTTGGGCGACTGTTTTAGAAGGACCATATTCGACGAGCGACGGTTGTCAGAAGGGCCATAGTTGGGCGACGGTGGTCGGAAGGATCGTAGTCGGCGGGCGATGCAAGCGGGAGGGCCGTAAGTGATCGACAAAGGGGTGGAATTCTTACGGCGGTCAGAAAGAAACTCTAGTGGTGGCCGCGGACGAGCGGAAGTCCGGTGGTGGTCGATGGAGTGGCAGAAGTCCAAAGGTGGTCGACGGAGTGGTGGAAGTCTGACGGTGGTCGGCGGACTGGCAAGAGTCCATCGGTGGTCGGGAAAAACTCCTACGATTGTTCGCGGACGGGCGGAAGTCTATCAATGGTCGAGAAGAGCTCCGGCTGTGGTCAGCGAACAGCCGAAAGTCTGGTGGTGTTCAAGTGATTAGTGGAAGTCCGTCAGTGATCGGGAAGAACTCTGGTGGTAATCGGTAATTCGGCAGTGGTCAGTAAGAACTTCGGCGGTGGTTGGCGGGCCAAGAAAAGTCCGAAGATGGCCGGTGGCAAGCAAAATCCCAACTTTTTCCCTTCTCCTCCTCCTTTTCTCCTCCTTTCAAGTGTAGAATGGGGGCCTATTTGTAGTTTTTTTATAGTGACATGACTTGTAAATATGGGAAGATCAAGGTCAGACGATACTGATCCTTTTGATTATGTATTGTTTACTGGTCATTTGAATTCCTTAATGATATCAGAATTTATTGATCTTGAGCTCGTTAGATTCGTCTCATCGAGCCGGTCGATTTGAATATAAGCATGTCACATTTGGAGTTCGTTTGGTATTCTAAATTCAGTTTTGAACAAATCAAATATGCTTTGGTCCCTTGATTTGGGCTCATTTGGGCTCGGAACTGGCTGGTTTTGGTGTCAATGGGTTCGTCTTTCCGAGACGTACGTTCAGTTCGACTATAAGTTTGTTGTAATCGGAGTTCAGATGATCTCATATTTAATTTCAAAAACTTTTAGCTCAATTTTGACTTGAGATTCGTGCCCGATCAAGGAGATTTTTTGGTAACGTATACATTTTCATAGCTACCACTATCAATATGACTTCGTAAACCCGATCGTCAACAGTACATTGGGTCCTAAAAAAAATAGTGTTGCAATCATGCTTCTTCTTTTTTGTGCATTCAAAACTTGCCTTAGGATTAGTAGATTACCTTCATCTGTATGTAAATAAGTATTTTTCAGTACTGATTAGTGCTTCATTTTCAATAGAGCCAGCTGCACCCCTTGCCTTCTTTTGTTGCATCTCAACCTTGAGAGACAAATTAACATCTTGAAAAGTCCAATAAAGTTGTAGCTGGGCCACTTTGGATATTATCGGTTATAATCCTCCCAAGAAATTAGTTATAGCTAGTATTCTCTTCAAGTTCCACAAGATCACTTTTGAGGGATAATTGATCAAATGCAACCACATATTCTTCCGCTGAGGATTGATTTTTGCTGTTATTGAGAGAATAACAAGAACAGATGTTTCTTGCAATGCTTGGGAAAGTACTTATGTTGCATTTCCTTCTTCATCTTGGCCCATGTAATGGTCTTGTTCCGCCCTTCTCGGCTACTTGTTCTTTTCAAATTTTCTCATCATAATGACGCATTCTTTTTAAGTTTAACCACCACCAACTCGACGATGCGTTCAGCTGGTACTTCTTTGAATTCCAGAGAATCCGTTCCACTGTGTGCATCCAATTGATGAATTCATCAGGATCCATTCTTCCTTCAAACTCCGGTAAATCCAACTTAATGTCGCAATTAGCTGGGTTTCCTCTACCGAACTTCCCTCAAGGTTGAACTTAATGTCGCAACCTGCTTGGTTGCCATAAGCAAGAATTGATTCTTGTTGAAACCTAGCACCTGAAAGTCTTCAGGATATAGGGAGAAGAAACAAAACTCTTTTTTTTTTTTTTTTTTTTTTTTTGAGATCGGGGGTATCTAGGAGGCATCTGGTGGAGTAACTAATCTCTCAGCGGGCCTAGTGGCAACCAGCCCCACAGGTGCCGGATCATACACTTATTTTCTTCTCACTTAAGGAGTCGCGCCGCTTGAGAGAGGAATCGAATATGAGTTGAGGGATTCCTAATTACGCTCGTCTACCAACCCAGCTAAGCATAGTGAGGTAAAATTCAAATAGTATCTCTCCAATCATCCTTCGCACTCCTCTTATAGTGCACCTACTTAAACTGAAAATTGGAGAGATGCTTAAAACTAGTAGAACATATATGGCCACACGGACACAAAGAGTCATTCTAAGAATGTAATAACTATCAAACATGTGTATAGAAATTTAAAAGCTTTAGCTCCGGCATCATAAATGCTTTCTCTCCAAACCTCTTAGATTATCAAGGTTGTAAAAATCTGATCGGATGATGAACAGAAAGAATGAGAGGTTCACGGCTCAATGGTCAAATCGGGGTTGAACTGGATTGACATAATAAATATCAAAATTATTTAAATATCATCTAAATAACATAGTAATGATATAACAATTATGAAATAATATAAATTAGAGACTAAAAATTAAATAATATGTCCTATAATTTTAAATTTAAACATATTTTATCTTTAAATTTAATTCATCTTTATTATAAAATTACTTTACATATAAATTTATAAATTTAATATGAATAATCTTTAATTTATGTTCTAGGTTTAAATACAATTTATAAGTATAAATTGTATACAAAATTTACATTATAAAATTACATCTATAAATTCATGTTATATTATTTATTATTCAAAATTTTATAAATAAAATATTTTATATTATATAAATAAATAATTAATTAATTTATTAATTAGATAAAAAACTTAAATATTATCAACAAAAATTTTAATATTATTCACATTATAAAATTTTAATTAATAAATATGAGCAAAAATATATAGTATAAATGCAGTATGGGTATCAATTATTGACCCAACTCGATAACCTGACCCGAACCCTATCTGAAAATTTTGAATTCAGGTCGAACCGTTTAACAAATGGGTCGGGTTCATGTTCCCATTTTTGACCCGTTTGTAAAATCAGGTCAGGTCCGGGTCAACTTGCTAACCCGAATTTGACCAGTCCCCGGCCTCGCCACCGCGAGTCGTCCACGCGTAGGCAACACGCACCCACGCAACCTTGCTAGTCGCGCACGTCGCACGCACCCTCGCAGGCGCACTAGCGAGCTCTTGGCGACACGACCTCGCCCTTTCTAGTCGTGCTCAACTCTCTAGCACGCGATCAACACACAGTCCAGCCCTCGCTTACAGTCCCGCACGCTCTCAGCATCGACGCTCGCAGGTCAGGTTCGTGTCTAAAGTTTCAACTAGTTTGCAAAACCGGGTCCGGTTCAGGACAGATGTATTGGACCAAGGTCAAATCCGGGTTCAACCCGACCCGAACACCCTTTCTGACGTCCTGCTTAAGACCCGACGTCCTACTCAAGGCTAGACCATCAACATCCGATCTTCCAAGTGACACTGGGACTAACACCAGACTCCAGTCTCCTACTGCCTACGGTTCTTCAGGCCTTCGTCGCCTACTATGGTCCTTCCGACCTCCATCAACAGACAACGGTCTTTCTGACCCCGGTCTCCTGCCGACCACGGTCTTTCAGGCCAAACAAACCTGTATATGTAACTTTTACCATGTAATGCAATCTATATGATGTACATTTGCTACATCAATCCAAGGCCTTCTCCTAAGGAAGGGCCTCATTTGTAATCGACTACAAATACTAGTGGATTCATTCAAACTGGGCTAGGCCCCGTGGTTTTTCCCCCTTTTTCGGGGGTTTTCCACGTAAAAACTTTGGTGTCTCTTATGAACGCTACACCCTCTCACTTATCTGATTGTGTGCTGGATCTTCGTACAATGCTAAGACGTTAAACTATATATTTCTCTACCGCTGCGAATATTCCAGGACGCAACAATATTAAAGAAGCCACCTTTTATCTTTTATAGTGAGTGATGTATTTTAATCTAAAAAATAGTAAACAATAAGTCATAATACTACAGGAAAAACATAAAAACCGACGGTTAGTATGGTAAAATCGGCAGATTTCCAATATACCGGCGGCTTATCGGCGGCTTTAAAGCCGCCGGTAAAAATGGCGTAGGAAAAACTTACCGACGGTTTATTACCGGCGATTTTATGAGGTCTCCGCCGCCGGTAAACCACCGGTAAGATTGACATCCGGTGGTTTAACTGGCGAATACAGGACCGTCGCTATTACCGGCGGCCTAACGTTACGAAACCCCCGGTTAGGCTGCCGGTAATACCGGCTGTCCTTTAACCGCCGGTCATGACCTCCGGTAATCGGTATTTTTCCTGTAGTGGGGTCATGACTTATTTTCCCTACAGGAAAAACGCCGATTACTGGAATAATAACAATAATTTGGATTATTGGCCCACTTATTGCATCCATTAATGTTAAATAATGAACTACTTCTACGTTATTTGAATTCATTATTTAAATAATAACAATAATTTGTTCTTTAATTATTGTATCACAAATCAAAACTTATTTCCCTTGAATAAAATATCAAAATTTATTCATTAAAAAACAAAATTAACCTACACTAACACACAAAAGTCAAAAATGAGCTTGAAATCCAGCTATCTATCCCTCCTCTTTGAATTCCAAATGGCACGTTCAAGTCATTGAAAAAACCCCGCTAAAAACACAATCTAAACGTTATATAATAAATGATATATGTCTTCATCAATTTTTCAACGATAATATAGTATAACGACAAAATATGAACTGTGAATTATTGGCCCACTTATTGCATCCATTAATGTTAAATAATGAACTACTTCTACGTTAATATATGCATTAATGCTTGTTATAAATTGAGATCTCCAATTTAACATCTTAATTAGGAAGCCATGAACGCACCTCATGCACTCATACTCCCTTACCCTGCGCAGGGCCATATCATTCCGCTCATGGAGCTCTCTTACTGTCTCATCGAACGTGGCTTTCACGTAACTTTCATCAACACAGAGTTCAATCATGAGCGTATTTTCGCCGCGATTTCATTGCCAGGCCAAGCCAAGCTCATCGACGGAGTTCATTTTGTGACTGTTCCTGATGGCCTCGAGCAGGAGGAGGATCGCCATGACTTTGGGAGGCTAACGACGTCCTTGATGACAGTGACGCCAAGCTTCTTGGAGAAATTGATGAGAAATAATGGGGCTGTGAAGTTCACTTGTTTCATTGCAGATATCAACATGGCTTGGGCGCTCTCCATTGCTAAGAACATGGGGCTTCGAACGGCTGGCTTTTGGCCTGCTGCAGCTGGAATCCTTGCGGCCATGTTTGAAATCCCAAAACTTATTCAAGATGGAGTCATCGATGAAGAAGATGGTAAGCTTTTTATGGTTAACCCCTTTAGATATAGTATAAACATGAAATTGTGCATGCGATGAAATAGCCTTGAAATGATGATATAAACTATATTACTGTTTCTTTATATTAAAAAATTATTTTAAAAAACAGCAATAATATAATCCCAAATAAAACTTTATTATACTTGAGATAAACCTAGGCAAAATTTTAAATTGAATTTCTCGAAAAAAAAAATAATGTGAGAAAGTATTTTTAACTATTGGATTTACTTTGAGATTCTTATTGAATTAGAATTATGCGTGTGCAAGCATAATTGGTTTAAGAAGCCGAAGAAAAATAGGAAGGAGAGAGAGAAGGCGAGATTGAGTTAAGAGAAAGTGTTAATTAAAAAAATAATTTATTAAAGTCATGAATATAAACATTTGAATGCTGAATATATTTATCTTATTTGACTAAAGCCTCATTAAGTATTTAATGAAAATGATTAGAATTTAATATATAGTTAATAAGTGCTAACTAATACAATGGTCATCGCAATGGTGATGACAAAATGTATTTTGTTAAATTAATACAGCTTAGATTGACAAATTAATAGCTAAATATATTTTTTCTTAGGTAATTAATTATTTATTTTATTTAAAATTTGTGATATCACCTTTTGTTTAGAAATATCATAGCGATTAATAGATCAATTGCAAAATAATTAATTTAGAAAAACTAATTAACTATTTTTAATTATGTACAGATAAGCTGCTATTATTCATAGTAACACTACAACGTAAATTATCCAATTATTGTTTATTCATTATTAATTATATCATTAAATCTCCTAATAATCATTGATTAAACCATATTACTTCATATTGAATACAACATCAATTCTTTATCCTACTATGTGGGGTCAGGTACATGAATCCTTTTTCTCCATTAATTGTGCCTTGTTAAAGGTTTTTTTTTTTTTAACAGAAATACATTCATAAAAGGAAAGTACAAGGGTAGACCACATAAGTGGCCACATCAAATGATTATAGGAAAACAGTAAAAACAAAGCAAAGTCCAGTTAGGAAAAGGTCGATAAAAAAAGTCGGACTCAGACCAGTTTCGGTTTGCCAGGGCGGGGCCATCCACTGGACAAAACAAAATCGAAGGGCCAACCAGGTTAAATTCTCATTTAAATCTAATAAAGAAATGTAATTTCTAATATTTTCTAACCAAGACTTTTTAGGCCTACCTCTACCTTTCTTAGCATAAGTCAAATCTAATACAACAACTTTCGTAACCAGATCATCTGAAGGCCGCCATTTTATGTGATCAAAGTACCATCTAAGGCGACTATCTCTAATTTTATCTTTCACTGGAGCTACTCCAACATTTTCACGTATATGCTCATTTTGTATCATGTCTCTAAGAGAAAAGCTGCTCATCCACCTAAGCATCATTATCTCTGTAACACTTAACTTAATATTATGCTTCTCTTTCAATGGCCAACATGTTGCACCATAAAAGCATTGCATGTCTAACCACCATTTTATAAAATTTTCTTTTTAAGTTTGAGGAAATTTTTGTATCAAGTAACAAGCCCAATGCATTCCTCCACTTCAACCATCCAACTTGAATTCTATTAATAATATTTCAATCTATTTCACCATAACTTTGAACAATAGACTCAAGATATCTAAAACGTATACTCTTATTAATGACTTGATCACTCACAGTCACAATCTCACCACTATTACTAAAATTATACTTCATATATTCAATTTTAGATATAATCAAATGAAAATTAATTATTGAATAATCTAAAAAATTAATTATTGAATGATCTAAAAATTTTATTATGATTTACATAATTATTTGTTCTTGACTTTAAACTGTAGAAAGTTATGATGAGGTTTCTTCTGAAAATAAAGAAGGAAAAGAAATTCTCCATCTCACTTTTGAAAGTTCTGTTGTTTTTATTTATTTTTAATCTTTTGATAAAACTTTTGAATTATTGTAGCTGTGAAGTGCAAAATAAAAGATAAAAATTGAGAGTCATTTGATCCAACATGCAAGGTAATGTAATTTTTTCATGCATGAAATACTAAATTTTAATGATATTTCATAGTAAAAATTAAATAACTATATGCTAATTATTATATGCAAATCTTATATTTTGAACCTCTTGACCTAATTCAAAAATGAGTGTTTGGAGCTCTTTTAGGAATATTTTATTTTATTTTATTTTATTTCACTTGAAATAATCCTTTTTTTTTTCAGTAGCATTATATATATTTTGTTTTGTGTCAATTTAAATTGATTTGAATATATGTATATAATTTTGAAATCAATAATTTAGGAGCACCAAAAAAGAAGGATGTTATCCAAGTGATCCCACGTTTGCCTCCCATGGACACAATCAGCCTTCCTTGGAATTCCTTTAATGATGCATATACAAGAAAAATAATATTCAACTACTTGATGACCAATATGCAAGCTTCTTCTAATGCTGAGATGATAATCTGCAATAGCTTTGAGGGGCTTGAAAAACCAATGTTCAACGAAATGCCAAATATTTTGCCTGTAGGGCCACTTCATACTAGATTTCAATCGAGAGAATATCCTAATTTATGCCAATTATGGCTTGAAGATAAGGAATGCATGGCTTGGCTTAACAGTCAACCTACATGTTCTGTTATCTATGTGGCTTTCGGCAGCATCACCATCTTCAATAACAAGCAATTCCAAGAGCTAGCACTTGGCCTCGAGCTCACAAATCGGCCATTCTTATGGGTGGTAAGGCCAGACTTGACCAACAAATCTATTAATTGCACCTATCCCTCAGGCTTTGAAGAAAGAGTTGCAAATCGAGGAAGAATGATTGGTTGGTCTCCTCAACAGAAGGTTTTGGAGCATCCTGCAATTGCATGTTTTATATCACATTGTGGTTGGAACTCAACTATAGAAGGAGTGAGAAATGGTGTACCTTTCCTCTGTTGGCCTTATTTTGCTGACCAATTGTTTAACCAAAGCTATATAACAAATATTTGGAAGGTAGGGCTGAGTTTGTCTCTTGATGAGAATGGGCTCATTTCTAAAGACGAAGTTGGATCAAAAGTAGAGGAGTTGCTTAAGGACAGAGATATTCTAGCAAAATCACAAGCTTTGAAGAAACTTGCTCAGAAGAGTGCCATGGAAGGAGGGTCGTCCTTTAATAATCTCAATAAATTTGCAAGCTTTCTAAGTGACATTTAAGTCTAGAACTTGTAGAAATTATGGAGATAGAGAGAGAGAGAGAGAGAGAGAGAGAGAGAGAGAGAGAGATGAGTTGGTATGATGTACTTTGGTAATGAATAATGTTATATTACTTGAAATTTTTTGTCTAACCTGCAATATATCATGAAATTACTCCCTTTGGTTAAGTTGGTAATTCTACACATCATCAGATAATCTGTGAGGACATATTTCAGATAAGATATTTTTATTCTTTTGTGAACATTTTTTCTATGTTTTGAATGGTGAAATACATTGCTTACTTGTTTGAATGTTATTATAATTGTTGGTTATTCTTTTGTTGTAATTTTGTTGTTAATGAATGCAAATACTGGCTAGGAACTAGCTACACAGTCATTCCCAACCAAAAACTTCTTTGACATAACATCAACTAAATTAAATTTAATAATAATAATTCAAATTAATTTATCTTAATCTTGAATTAATTAAGATATTATTCTAAATATTTGGGTGTTATTCATATAATTTGCTTAATGAATGTACTAGTAAGATATTCAGAGAGAATCTTTTTCAATGTCGGCCTATGTTGCACCGATACACCTATTTATGAAGGCGTGCTGTATCTGATACACCGATATACGGATACGTCTCCGATACTCCACCGATACGTGTCAGATACGCCAAAGCCGTATCCAATTAAAATATTATTTAATTTCAAAAGAACGCACGTATCTGATACGCATGTTCGTTGAAAAACAAAAAGAAATCCGAAAAAAAAGACGTGTCGTAATTACTTCTGCGGTTGCGAGCAAGATTCTCTCATTTTCGAGATGGATTTGAGTCTCTTGATGATATGAAAATATTAAAATTTGCTAATCTTTCACTTGATGAGCCTGAATTAGAAGCTATGATATTTATTGAAGATGATATAGAAGTTCAAAGACAAATCAATGAAGAAGATAATTATATAATTCCCTCTATTGAATAGTTAAAACTTCAAGTGCTAGATAATTTATGTTTATGCTTTTGTTGTTGTACTAGACATTTAATGCTTGCTTATATTTTGATATTATAAGCTACAAGGCTACAAATGAAGTTGTTGTCATTTTTTTGTAATTTCAAATATTATGCTTTGTTTGCTTTCTTAATTTTTATGTATAATTTATAAATTATAATGCTGTGTCTGTGCCGTACCCGTATCCTGTATTTTTAAGAATTGACGTGTCCCGTATCCGTATCGTGTCGTATCCGTGTCGCCGTATCCGTATCGGTGCAACATAGCTGTCGGCATTCCTAACTCTAAAAATTGATAGATTTCCTAGGGCCATAAACCAACCAAACTATACTAGAGAAATTGTGTCAATTATATTATTTTAACAAGATTCATCAAATGACTAACAATCCTAAAATATAATTTCCATGATTTGTTTTAATTCTATTAATCAAATAATATAATCTTTTGAGAATTTATTTTGTAAACTTCTTAAATTCTTCGAATGCTAATTGCTCAGAATAAAACTTATGTAAAGCTCGAGTAATAAATGTAAATTGCAAATTCACATTTCTTTTTTTATAAAATAATAGCCAACATTATGAGGTCAAAATAAATTCATATGAATTGGTTTTAAACATCTAGTGGTGATCACTATATTCTTATTTGTGCATAGCTTAATATAATATATCATAACTAAGCATCACCAATTAAGTTTTAAGATAACATATTTATATCATTATCAAAATATTTTAAATCAATCAAATATATATATTGTGATTAAATTTTTTTTTTTTACATATTTATTACTATTTTAAAATTTGGAATGTAACATTATCATGTATCACAGAAAAGGGCTGCGAAAAATTCTGCCAATGCCAAGAAGCAAACTTGTCCTCACACAATGGGTCGTGTGAGTTCAGTTCGAAGACAAAAGGAAACGGTAAAAAATTAAATATTTATTTATAACTACTAAATGCTTTATTTTCAAACTTACATTGTTTTTATAATTTTTTGTAGTCTATTAAGGACATATTACAATTATGGAATATCAATAGGATGCACAAAGATGGGACATGGTCATCTGAGGACGCTATGCAGCGATCGGTACATATATATAGTTATTACAATTTTTTTTATAAATCATTCTTCAATATATTTAACTATATGTATTTGTACTATAGACGCAAGCATGCAATCTTCTTGTCGAAGAAGGGTTTACACCTGAAGAAGGAAATATTGAAGCTAATGAGAGAGTTTTTGCTATAGTTATGGGACCAGAACATTCAGGTCGAGTTCATACCCAGGGATTTGGTGTCACCCCGACTAGATACTTTCCTCAATGCAAAAATAAAGAAGGTAGTGGTAGCGGCAGCAGTTTTGGACAGATAGCTAATCTTAAAGAGGAGTTCAGATCATTTCGTGATAATCAGGCGAGAGAATTTGGCGCATTTTGTGATGAAATGAGACAGTTTGTACAAGAAATTCAAATTAATCATCCACCGGTGGAAATGACAATTCATCTGATGCCTGACAGTCTGCTGATGAGTACTAGTATTAGATGTGATGCTTCTGGTTATATGTATATCTTATGTAATTTCGAACTTATTTTGTTTTGATTTTGAAATGTAAGATTGTTATTTTGTGCTCATTTCCTTTCTTGTTATATATAAGAAATAGTGTTCCATAGTAATTTTTCTTGAGTTTAACTTGGCATTTAGTGATTTCTTTTTGTTGAAATACTCATAATACTCAACGATCTCAGTTTAAGTTGTAGTTCAGCTCAATACTCAGAGTTATGGAAAATGATGAGCTGGTTTTATTGCCAAATGAGGAAGTGACTCAAATATATTGTTCTAGTCATGTGATTCAAATATATTTTTCAATGTTCTCTTGTTGTTGTGAATCTCTATGATTTGTTATATTTTTGTACGTGGCAGTTGGCTAACCAACTCATCTAGCTCTAGAGTGAACGGTCAGGTTTCAGGATTTAAAAAAACAAATCTGGACTTTAGTGGCAATTATAACCGCCACTAGAGCCTAGAAAATCTTCGCAAAACTGAAGTTCGGTCGATTTTGCTCATAGTTGTTGCAGTTATAACTGGCACAATTCTGTATATGTGCAGCGGATATAACCGCCGCAAAATATGCTTTCCGTAAAAATCTTCCCCGCCGATCTTCGAACCGCTGCGGAATACCGTTGCAGCGCATTACAAACACAACGGTTATGTAGCGGTTCTACAACTGCTGCAATTAAAATCGTGGCGGGTATAACCGCCGGGAAAGGTAAAAAAATGTGCTACGAAAACCCAATTTTTTGGTAGTGTAATTTCTCTCTTATGAGTTATGATGAAAATAACCTTTCTCATATTCAACAAGTTATAACTTCTGAAAAATGAATTTATCACCAATCCAAATAAAATCAACCATAATGAACTAAAAAACATGAAAAAAAAATCATTTAAATATCTTAAAAAGAAGTTTATATAAGAAAAATACATGAAAATTTGCAGTGAGAAATTGTTCCAACAAAAGGCAAGATCTTATCAAAGCACAGCTTGAATGACTTTCTCGTTCCAGCATAAGAATGAAACATTATAGGAAGTATGCTAGAACAGATAAACAAGATTAATTGCTATATTAAAGTTACCTTGACGAATGACGAGCGCCTAAGGCAGCGAGTGCGAAGAGTGGAGCTTGCGACTGCGAACTGCGAAGAGCGAAGGCTTGGAGCTTGCAACTGTAAAGAGCCGAGCGAAGTGCGAACATAGGGATCTCTTCAACGTCAACTCGAATGGGAAGAACCGAAGAAGAGGAAAGGGTTGCGAAGAAGAAGCCTCCGAGTTGCGGCCGAACGTGCAATGCTGCGAATGGGATTTCGGGAGAGCGGGTAGAATAGCGAACCAGATGGGAACGTGGGCATGATTTATAAAATTAGGGCAAAATTATTTTTTTAGTTGGGGGCAAAATATCGAAAATAACCCCTTTACCATCCCATTTCCTCCTAAACATATAATCTCCATTAATGATGGTACCACTTGTTGACAATCAATTTATCGAAGCTGCTCACAAAAAAACAGCAACTTCAAGAAGCTGCTACACCCACGGTGCTTGCTAGTTACCACTACAAGAAGGAAAATTTTTTAACACTAAAAGGTGCACTTCCGCACCCAATAGTAGAGGAGGATGATCCACAAAAAAAATTATTATATGCCAAATTTATTCTAAGAATTGCCACAACAATACCTATAGTAGCAACCATACATCACCATAAGCGCATCTTATAGACTCAGGCTTCGTTTGGGACGGCTGTTTCCCTGCTCCACTGTATGAAACGTAACTCAGAGGTGGTTTGGGAGTACACGTTATTTTTACGTCCTGCGGCTGCTTCTCACGTCCGGCGGAAGACTCCGCGTTTCGGCTGCTTCCCGCTGTTTGTATCTATAATGCCCTTGCTATGCGAACTATCCCCATTTTCTCCTTCTCCCGTGCGGCTTTCCATTTCCTGTCAGATGGAAGCTTTGATCGGGAGTAGCGACTGGAGTTGGCTTGCTCTGAAGATAACCTCTCTCTCACGCATTTCTTTCGGCCTCTTCCTCCTTCCCCGACGTCCGGAGACCTCCACCCCACCCGAACTCCAAACTCCAGAAGCCGCCGCCTCTAGCAGTCACAAGAAGATCGTGAACCAGGCCTTGCCCGAGCCCTTCGCCGCTGCTCGACCTTGCTCTCTGGAAGGCATCCCTCGCTGTCGTTCGTCAATATAAAAAGCCCCCACGGCTCTAATTCTTTAGTATTAATGATTTATCCTTCAGAACAAATAGAATGAGTATAACGGCCCAGGCCATATAAGAAGTTTCGGTTTGAAATCCGAATTTGTGCTCTTCTTTCTGTTTTCTTCCTCTTTTGTTCCATCGAATCTCTGTAATTCCTAAAGGGAGAAGAGATGGGCTAATAAAGTCGACGACCCGTCGGCGAAGAGAGCGCCGGCGAGGTGTTGATGGGGCTACGAGAGAGCTTATTTTTGCAGCTTTAATATTTTTTTTTTAAAAAATTGTACCAACTTAAGAAGTGATACAATTTTGATTTAGAATTGTTAGTTGATTATCATATACATTTAAAAAAATTTAAATTTTAAAAAATTATATATTTTATCTAAATATATATAAGGGTATGAAGGTAAATTGTTCCCATACAGCTGCAGCACAGCAGCTCTACAGTTACACTATCCAAACAAAATATAATGATTTATATAAAACAACTTCAGGAAGCAACTTTCTGTACAATAATTTCACAACCTATTTTACCGACAGCTACAGTCGTCCCAAACGCACCCTCAACTAATGCTTCATTTGAGACGGCTTTCTAAAGCAACTTCCAATTCAAAAATTTTTAATTTAATAAATTTTTGAACTAAAAAACTCCTTTAGAAAGCAGTAAGAAAATTATCTCAAATGAAGCGTATATTTGCTATAGATGTGACCATCAAGTGATACCTTGATTTATGTGCTATTAATCATCTTATCTTGTGACTCAACGCAACTATATAATCCCAAAACCAATTAAGGTCAGCACCAAGTTGTTGTTAGCAAAGACGGATTTAGTATGGGGCCCTGAGAGCACGACCCCCACTGAACACTTAACTAATGTCTAATTAAGTATATTTAATGCTTTTTAATTACCACTAAAGAAATTATAAATATTAGGGTTTTTTGTGAGCCTCTATCCCGATTCACGCCCACCTACCTTTTTATACGCACACAGAGTATGGAGCGGAGCTTGCAGAGCGACCGAGCGAAATCGGCGAAGACTTCGTTCACACAAAACTTCCATGTCTCCTTCTTTCTCGTTCAAATGTCTAGTCACCTACACTTCACCTTTAAGGTTTCACATTCACAGGGTCCGACAATGGCAGTAGGCAGGTAATTCTGAGTTTTTTTTTTTTTTTCGGTGATTCGTTGAATGAGTTGTTGATTCGCCTAGTTGCCCACACTTCTCTCTAATCGAGTTGAAGCATCCTTTACTTTCTAGGATTTGAGGCAATGATGATTTCTCTCTATTTAGCAGGTATTTCTAGATTTCTGTTTGATTGTTGGTAGTGCACGTTGTACATACTTATAAAGCTTGCTTTGAACTTGCTCATAAAATAGTTGAGACTTGGAATCCTTTGGTGTTCTTATTGATAAAGCTTGGTCTGATATTGTCAATTGCTACAACAACAGTCTAATGAGTCTTTTCTACAATGAACATTATAATAAATCATTTACACAATTGTATGGGAGATTCCTGAATGAATGATTGTTTACTTATGTTGAAAACAATATATTTAATAATATTGATAATGAATTGATTGTACAATGATTTTAAAAAAATGAAGACTCAAAGAGAGAAATTATAGATAATATGTAAGAAGAATATCAAGATTTAATGTTCTCAATTGTAAATTTTTTCTTTGTCGTATATTTTATCTTTTTATAATGAATCTAATGATTTAAAAAATAAAAATAAAACCGCCAATGCCGGTCCCAAACCCATATGAAAGAGGTTGAAGGTTTTTTCTTTACTTCAATGTTTTGTGCCCTCACATGAAAAAATAATGGCTCCGCCCTTGGTTGTTGGCAATGGACAATTGCTATCAAGCAGATTATTTGTCTCCCAATGGAGAAATTATTACGTGAGTCCAGGCGGCGTCCAAACTCCAATCAGAACTGGGCACATCGTCAGTACAGTGTACAATTTAATTTTTATACTGCCTGTGTACACATTATATACAGTATGTACAAGCTGATGTGGCCTTTTCTAATTAGAATCCGGGACGCAAGCTACATACAAACTCCACTCGTAATAATTTCTCCTTTCAATGAGTTGGTAAGTTGACGAACTCTAAGGCTGTTGGCTGAGTTGGTGGCCACCTTTGTCGAGCTAACATAAATCGAATCCAATAAACAATGATCGTATGAGAGAGAAAGAAGTCAGAAGATAACAAATTGTACACTTTTTCATTTTTCTCGATTTGTAAGTAAACCGAATGATTAATCGAAGAAGGAAGTCACTTCCGAATTGACGTACGTGGAAGCGACTTCCGAATTGATTTTTTTTTTTTAATTTAATGCACGTAATAATGATAGTTTATGGGATGGCTTACACGCCAACTGCTTTCGAATCAAAGGTGGCCTTCGAATTTGCCATATCTGGATTACCTCTAGTATGGCTTGGCTTCCAACTATAGATCATTACAGATTTACAGTGGAAGCTATGCAGCGGTAACTTCTAATTTGTCTGCAGTGTTTTATTAATAAATGGATATTTTTTTATTATTTAGAAATATCGTGATATATATAATGATAGAATCAGAGAGGCTGCGATGATTCTCGTGTCTCCTAAATTTGAATAATAATAATAATAATAATAATAATATGTAATATTCAAGTTTTAATCTTATCTGTCTTTAAATGTATACTCTCATTTTTTTTTTGGGGGTATTTAGCATATAATGGTCGGGTCATGACATAATAGTTGGTAGTTTGTACCTTGCGAGCCCACATAAGAGATCACCCAAAGATCATGAAATCCAACTTAACAGAGGGATCAGTATGGTGTTGCATGTTGCCTCCCACATAGACAACCCAAAATCCTTCTAAGTTCTAAGTCATCTAGCCCAGCACTCGCCTCCCATGAATTAGAACTCGTCAGCAACATGGCTCACCATTCACCATGGCATGTGGAGGTGTTAATATTTGACACGACCTGAAAATTTCGGGTTAAGGTCAACCCGAACCCAAAATGGGTAGGGTTCAGGTTCAGCAAATCGACCTGTTTCAAAAATCGGGTCGTGTTCGGGTTGACCCAATAACTCGAAATTGACCCAATTTTTACTCAAAAACTCATTTTTGACCCGGAAATCCAAGATTAATATGCTTTTTACCTGATTTTGACTCGAAAATTTGAGATTGACCCGTTTTTAACCTGAAAACCACATTTTTTAGTCGGTCCTGGGTTTTCGGTTCGTGTCGGGTTGACCCAAAGTGGGTCGTGTTTGAGTCCCAAAAACCGACCCATTTGTAAAAATGGGTCCAATTCGGGTTGACCGAATAGTGTTGGGTCAATTCCGAGTTTGACCCGAACCCAATCCGTGACCCGAAATTGACACCCCTATTGGCATGGATATTATTGATCTCACTTGCCACTTCAAGTATAGGGAAGGTGCCAACTCAAAATACTCCTTCCTTATTCTATCATAGTCAGCTAGTCATGAAGTTCATCTTTCCGATCCTACAATTCAAGCTCACTCGTGTCTCTCTAGATCTCTCTCTACAAGATGACATAGGTCAATCAACATTAGCTTTCTCTCTCTATTCAGGATTCGCTAGCGAACTTGCTTGCACCTACTCGACTATACGCACTCGGCACTACCGAGCTAGCCTAAAGGCAAAAAGGTCAAGTTCAAGGCAAGCAACCTCTTTTGCAGCTAGCCATATTGTGTCACGTGTCTAAGACAGGTTGTAGAGTCATTGAGTTCTATATTAATTTTTCATTTATTTATAAATATAGCATTTCATGTATCCCTCATATTCCTACAAATAAATGGTGAAGATGGATCATTTTGGATCTTTTTGCATCTTTAACATCCATTGACACTGTACTACAAATATTTAAGCTAGTAGATTATTCTTTCTCTCCATTCTCACACAAATTTTTACGTCATACTCTCAGAATTTATCTACAAATAAAGTCTCGTATTATATATATTGGAAAATATACTTAGTTTTTTTCTTTAATATACTAAATTGGTCAAGTAATTTGGCATGTCTTATTTTTTTAGCTATAAAATTTTGTGCTTAAAACTATTTTAAAAACGGTAAGAAAACTGTCTCAAACGAAGCCTTAGCTCATTGATTTTGATTGTACAAAAAAGTCAATATAATTCTTAAAAATTTTTTTTATCTTTAAGTCAATATTAAGCCCTGATCATTGCAAAAAGCCTTTAATAACTTAGATTTCGTGTATCAAACAATAAACTATAATAATTGATTAATACATATCTTCAAAGAAAGAAAACAACTAAACCCTAAAGCAAAAACTGGTGAGATTGCAATCCTAACAAGCATATGATGACTTGTAGTTGTAAATAACTTCACTTAATTACTAATACGCCACCTAGTTTGGTTTTTGGAACTCACTTCCCTCCATTTTCTCATATATATATAACATACCCAAAGTACATCAATGATCAAACAACTCAACCAAATATTCATCAAGAATCCTCGACTTGATCATCATTTCCACCTTCTTGTCCCTTGTTTTCCTTCCTGTAAGTAGACTTCCAGAGAATTTTAATATGGAAATTAAGAAGAGGCTGGCTACCTTGGTAGGGTGCAACTATGCCGGCACTAGGAATGAGCTTCGTGGGTGCATAAATGATGTGGAAGCCATGAGGGACCTTCTCATCGACCGGTTCGGGTTCGATGCCTCCAATATAGTCATCCTAACTGATGAGCCAGGAGCACAGCTGCTTCCGACCGGCGCCAATATTCGACAAGCGTTAAGACGCATGATTGATCAGGCCAATTCGGGCGATATCGTGTTTTTTCACTACAGCGGTCATGGGACACTCATACCATCCGTGAATCCACACAATGGCCGTCGCCACCGCCGCCGCGACGAGGCCATTGTTCCATGTGACTTCAATCTTCTAACCGGTATGAATTTTAAGTTGATGTTTTATATATGAGAATTATAAACCGTAGGGATCGTTTGGTCGAATTATATCGGGTGACCTAATAAACACACATCTAAATTGAAAATCAATCTAAAATTTAAAGAATATTTAAATATAAAATTTGATAAAATTGAATTGTTTTTTTTTTTTTTCGTTAGGATCGCAAACTAATAAGCCAGATGTGAATAAAGCCGGCAATAGAATAATAATTGCACAATCTATATAATTCAAGCAACCTTTATAAGAAGTAATAAGTAATTACCTATTACGTGTGCTTGTTGAACATATCTTGATCAACACAAAGGGATTAATCACCCACATTAATTAATTAAGGTTTCCAAACACAAGGATTAGCTACTTAATTAACCGATTTCTCCTCTAAACTAAATGATTAAGAAAAAAACTTCCATATAATCAAATTTTATAGATAACTATATGGTGCCTTGCCATTTACACAAATTAACAATCAAACCTTTTTATTGATGGAACCAAAAGGCTCCTTATCTCCTTTTGTGAAATTCCCACTCAAATTCATAACAAAATTACCACTTCTCATTTAGAATAATGATATTTTACTCCTTAAATATATAACTATCAAAGTAGGAAAATTAGAAGAAAAAAAATTATAAAAATTAATTAGTACAACAAGATTACTATGAACATAAATAAAATCATATACAGTGAAATAATTAAGAAAATACTCATATAACATAACGAAATCAAATATGCCTATTTTATCCTTAATATATATCATTAATTAAAGAGAAATGATCCTTTTCAACAAAATCTTTATATTGTAAATTATGAAAACATGCAAAATTGATCGTTATATCCTACGTCAGAAATTTATTTTATATATCAATGTCATATACTTTAAATCATATTAAATCACACATCCATGCAGACGTAGACTTTCGAGAGCTGGTTAACCAACTTCCTAAAGATGCAACCTTCACCATGATCTCTGATTCGTGCCACTCGGGCGGCCTAATTCAAAATGAGAAGGAGCAGATCGGCCCCTCCAACTCCACCTTCCCAACATCGAGCAAGCACATCCTTGCTCATCAACGACCCAAGTACATTCCCTTCGACTCAGTCCTCCACCATCTCTCCTCCATCTCTGGCCTCACATCTCCAAACGTCAGCGATCACCTCACCAACCTCTTTGGCTCCAACGCTAGCCCCATGTTTGTCCCAGGCACAGTTCTCCATCGATCATATACTGATGATGAAGATGCAGATGATGACGACAAGGATGGTGGAATTCTGCTTAGTGGATGTCAAACGGATGAGACATCGGCCGACATGAGCCCAGATGAGGTGGAGGGGACAGAGGGGAAGGCATATGGTGCATTCAGCAATGCGATACAGATGATGATGAGAGAGGAGGGGGAAGACGATGAGGAGATGATAAGTTATAAGGAGGTGGTGTTGAAGGTAAGGGAGTTGCTTAAGAAGCAGGGGTTTGAGCAGCATCCATGCTTGTATTGCAGTGATGAGAATGCTGAGAAGCCATTTCTAATGGCGGATGAAATAGAGAAGAAGCTTGACTCATGCTCTTCACCTTCGTGGAATTCGAGCGAGGAGTGATAGAGAGAATGAATGGATGCCTTTTGTCATATTTCATTTGTGTTTGATGAGTATGGGTGAGTCACAATACATGCTCTCATGCAAATTCAGTACTGTAAAAAGCTGGCTTGTTAACGAACTGTGCTAACTAAAGAAGCTCTGCCGAATATTGTAAGTGTCGTTTATATATGATGAATTTAATTTATTTGTATAGAAGGTTTACTTCTGTTTATAGGGGCATAGTAGAAGATTTAATTGTATTTAAATGATGAATCTATTTAGGTGAAGCTGCGTGAATTTTTTCTCTTTATTACTATAGATTTTTATGGGACCGATAGTAGGCATCCTGTGCATCTTAGCTAAAGCTAAACGAGTAAGGATTTCTATTTCGGCATAAGCCACAAAAAATTATGTGTTAAATTAAATCTATTTTTACGGCAGTTTTTAAAAATTATTTTTTAACACTAATTTGATAATCAGTTTTACAAAAAATTACATGACCATGCACAATAAATCCTATTTGTGCGGGTGCTTTTCGAAATTACAATTCTATTGGGATTATTTACGTCAAGATCTCTGTGCATTAGAATTACAATTGAAGCAACGATAGGCAGACTTATAAATGTTATTGTGAGGGATGTACTTTAATCCAACCTTTGATCAATAAAATTTTATATTTCTACTTTTAATTTTATAAATTTCTATTAGATGTTGATTCCTCCAGTATAATTGTACGAGAATTAAACTTTCTTCACTATATATATATATATATATATTCTGCCTTATATTTATTAAAGATATTGCAAGATCTCTGATTTTGCTCAAATGTTACAACTAGAATTTCAATTGAAGAGAAAAAATTCAATTACTTGATTTATTTATTGAATTATCTTTGATTTTTTTGTTAATTAATCATTACATTATCATTTGGTTTCATTTTACAAATTTTCATGTTCCATCGAATATATGAATTTTGTGTGTAATTAATGGTTATTGCTGCTAATATATATATAAACACAAACATACACGCACGCTTTAAGTGATACTCAGAATTGGAAATTCCACCCAGGTTGAATATCATGTTTAACTAACTCTATTTAGATGTGCTTATAAGAATTCACTAAAAGGGAAAAAAAAACTAATATGAGCTACTTGCATACAACGATTTTCACGAATACTTGCTCGCAGGGGAAGCCTTCGACGTTTATGTGACTTGTGCATGTTGAAAGCCGGTTCAAGAGGGATATCTGCTCACGAATACAAATTTACTACGCTTCGTAGTTCCTCCCGAGGAATTCTGAGTTGAAAGATCCATGAAGAATTCTCTATTTCCCTTGAATTTGGAAGAAATCTCTATAGAGAGTTGTATTTATTTAATCTAAGACCTCGTTTAATTCCCCGGCTCTATTTTCTCGTTTTTAACCGAGCTTTCAGAATGGCAAATGGAGAAAAAAATTTCTTCTCAAATCCGCAGAAATACGGAGGTTCACCGGAAGTTATTTTGAAGAAGCGGTGTTACCAAACAGCAAAACAATCATTTTTTCGTCGATTCAAATCGCAGACGGAGAAATTATGTAGAAACAAACGAGGCCTAAGTGCACAAACCTTTAGATACGACATATTTACATGCAAGCTCAAAGTAGCAACATTTAAAATAATGAATCCTTTTTGAGGAATTTTGTCCAGGATCATTAAAACTGAACTCTAAAAGCAAGTTGAAATACAATAACAACAACAACATCACATGGGGTCGGTTACATGAATTCTTTTTCTCCATTGTGACTTGTTAAGAGTCAAATTATCATTTAAATCTAATAAAAAAGCAATTTCTAATATTTTCTAACCAAATCTTTTTAGATCTACCTCAAACTCTCTCAACATAGGCCAGATTAAATACATCTACTCTCTTAATCAGGTCATCAGAAGGCCAACATTTTATACGACCAAACCATCTAAAGCGACTCTCTAATCCAATCTGCCACTGGAGCTACTTCAACCTTTTGACATCTATGCTTGTTTCACAATCTATCTCTAAGAGTAAAGCCACTCATCCACCTTAGCATCCTCATCTCTGCAACACTTAACTTAACTGTAGCTTCTCTTTTAATGGCCAACATTCTACAACATAAAGCATTTCAGGTCTCACCATCATCTTATAGAATTTTCCCTTAACTGGAGCTACTTCAACATTTTATTTTCTTAATTTCTTATAGCCTATGCGGGCTTTCTAATTAGCTGCAATGAAGTAATTGCCATACATTTCAGTTTTTCATTTCCTCACTCTCACTTTCCTGGCATTAACTACCAACCCAGCAAAAGGCCAAATAACTTCATTGATACAAGCGTACTGAAAAGTGTTTAATAATATTTCTATGAAATGCATGCTTAAAATTAAGAAATAATATCTCTATGAAACGTGTTCCTACTCTGACCAGATCATTCATGGTAAACAATAATACAATATTACTCGAGTAAAAAAGGTAATAAATGTTGGTACAGTTTTCATCCACATGAGAACTCAAATGGGCAGTAAACATTGGAAAAGTTATTACGTCCGGATAAAAAACCGAAAATCCGAACGAATACCGAGCGATACCGAGTGCTGTATCGAGCATGGTACCAAGCACCCAAGTGATGTAGCGCTTTGTTATTGGTTTCTGGACGCATTAGGTGTCCGAACACAATAATTACTCGTAAACATTGAAGAAGACATCCAAGGCAATACTGAGTCGCAGACATAAGATATTGAAGGTTTACAGAATAAATCAGCCAGATACAACAACAATATATATACCTATTTTGTTCATATCTGCTCATTTGGAGATGAAAACTTCTGTAGTCCAGAATGCAATTCTTGAAGGTTCAGACCATCATCCACCAGGATGCTTGTTACTCCCATTTTAGAAACCTGAAAAGAGGATAAAAATATGGATCATGAGTGGGCTTTGCTAAGAAATAAGAATTAATGCAAATCATTTTTTTAATTTTTTGAAAGAAATTCACTGAAATTGAGATGCATGCTGAATACATTAGCTTTGAAGTATAGTAGGATGTTTTTAAAATAAATTGAAATCCATATTAGTTTGCATGCATGTTCAAAAGGTTGTGTTGACCTCCATATTTATTCCACGATCAATTCAAGTATGTGCGATGAGGGTGATACTAACAGACAAGATGTCTCACAAAATGAGTTCAAATTGTCTCAATCCCGATTGAAACTACTCAAACATCATCCGCTCATTAAAAAGACTACGCCTATGCATCCAAAGCATCAAAATACGAAGGAAGAAACCTTCCACCAACAACCTGATCGAACCTGACAAAAAAAAATAGTATACAGATGCAATGTTGCGTGAAACCATCTGAACATTATCTATTCGCAAAACGAACCATGTCATTGCATTCAGTACATCTAAATTTCCAACAAATGAGCTTCCGTGTTCGATACGAGCAAATGTGACCGAAAACAACAAACTACAAACACAATGTGGTGCGAAGAGGCTCAAGCGTAGCTAGGTAGCAAAACGGCTTGTGTTGATGCATCCAAAATGTCAAAATTATCTATAAATAACATCCATATTATCAGGGTTGTCGTGCGAGTCAAAACACAAATTTGCCCGTGCATGACGCAATGACACACAAATTAAGTTGCACAAGAAACAAGACATTGCGTGAGAAATTAATTCACATCTTCTTATCATTTTTATTTCATTTTATATAAATTTATAAAAAAAATAGTGTAAAATTCTGTATAATTTGAACTATTTTTTCTCTTAAATTAATTAAGCTCCATTAATTCTCTCTCTTGAATAACTCAATTCTCAAGAGGATGATTTATAGTATTATGGACAAATTTTAAAAGGAGCATATAATATTTATTTGAATTTTTTTATTATTAATTATATGTTATTTAAAATGTTATAAATTTTTGAGAAAATATAATCACTAATATTGCACTATACTTCAATTTAAGTATTTAACTAACCCTAATTTAAATATCTTTATTGTTGTTGTTGTTGTTACATCTTTTTTTCCCAACAAAGGAGCCTAGTTCACCTTAGGCTCCCAGTTGTCGCTCTACATCCAGTGGAAACTCTTGCCAATGCCAACAAGCATTTCCTTCTTTAGGAAGCTTGACGATACATATATCAAGATATATTCAATTGTATTGATAATGAAATTAATTATTCAATGATTTTAAAATACAAAAACTCAAAGAGAAAAATTATAGGTGACATGCAAGGAGACTATGAACATTAGGAGTTTTCAATTATAAGTTTTCTTTATTTTATAATTTGTCATTTTTTAAAATTGGCAATGTTTTCAAGCCTAGATAAAAAAGATCGAAGGTATTTAAAATAAAAAATTTGTGCCTCCACAGATAAAATATCCTGGCTCCGCCACTGCCTGCTTTTAACCCCAAGCCCAGCCACCTGCCTTCAACTCCACCCGACCTAAAAGATCTGGGTTCGGGTTGACACGCTAACCCGATTTTGACCCAAAAATAATCCATTTAGTATTTTTTTGCTAACTCATTTTATATGTTAGTATAATCTTCTTTATTTTTTATAAATTAATATAAAATATATAATTAATAATAAATAAAAATAATAATTAAAACAGGTTATCGAGTTGGGTTTAGTCCACTTTTTTTTGCCCTTTTATTATTAAATGGGTCAGG